TGTGCATCCCCTGCACCCCTCCCCTTGATCCACCCCTGTACATGCATTATTTACTTTCAAACAACGGTAACCCATTTAATTAATTTTATCAAATGAAACATAGCGACTATTTCTAGTTTCCGCTAAGCGTTGCGCTAGAAACTCTTTACAGAGCTAATTTACATTATCTACTTAGTAGATAAAGGGTGAATTGTCATGTTATACTCGCCCACTGACGCAGCACCAGTTTCTTAAGAAACTTACTCTCTTTATCAGTTACTTGATTAGTTCTGAAAAGCCATTCTATCTTCTTCAAGTTCTATAGATTCACCCTTTAGCCTAAGCAGTCTTCTACTCTCATATGTTTGCTTTGTAATGTGTTGCCGATAACTGAAAGAAATTACCCCATATCAAAGGACTCTTTGATCATCTATGAGAAGTCAACTGCCACAAAATTTTAACTAAAAATTTCTCATTCAACTGTCTTATGTTCACACAGCAACAGGCGGCTGGAGTTCGTGGACAAGTTTTGGTCCCTGTTATAAGCTTAATTCTAAATGCCTTCATGATCGCCAGAGATACTGTTCAAACAAAAATAGAGATAAGTGTCCTGGTGCAAACATGTATGGTGTACAGACACAGACAAAGCCATGTCCTCAGAGCTGTTCCTGTAAGTACGATTATTATTATAGATAACCAACTTCAAATTTTGCTCCTCTTGACATCCCCTATGGCATCTATCAGTACTCAGTCCAAAACATTCAAGCATCACTCGAGATGCTTGTTACACCTTGCGCAAAAGACCACATACTTTGAGTCTACTTTTTGCTCAAAAACTCCCGTTAACCATAATACTTATTGATCAAGAAAATGACAGGTGAACTTCAACTCTCTTAGTGCCAGTTGACGGCCACTGGGGTCGTTGGTCGTCATGGTCACCTTGCAGTGTAACATGCGGGTATGGCACCCACACTAGAACAAGAAAATGTAATGATCCACCTCCAAAGAATGGTGGAGAAGAATGTGGTGGAGACAGGAAAGATGTTGGCAAGTGTCTAAGGACAGTTTGTGATCTTGGTAAGTTAATGTCATTCATCCCACTGAAACCATCGAAAATGCGTACAATAGGTTAAACTTTTCATGTGACGCGCTGGATAATAGGTTGGTTGGGTTCCTGTCACAAGTGAAGTCAGACAACCAAATACATTTTCTCAATCATGACATTCTAAGATTCTTTGCTTGTTTGTTTTGGTTATAATAACTTTGGTCTTCATGAGTTTCAGACGACTAACAAGTAATTTTTTTCTTGTTCACTGTCAGGTCCATTTGATGTTTCATTTGAATCAGAAGGTATGCATGGCTGGAAATTGTGCGAATCGTACAAAGAGAAGAATCGACCAAATTGGTATTTCAGTATGGGAATAACCGGATCACCTTTCACAGGACCTGTTAGAGATCACACTACGGGCTCAGGTACCTCTCAAGATTTTAAATATGAAAGCGTTCTAAGTATGGCGAGATTATAGTTTTATCTAATTTTTATTCAATTTTTTCTGAATTTTTTCTTCTCTTGGAGTTCACCTATTTAAAATATATATTTTTCATGCACCAGCTAGCAAATGATAACACTCTCAGCACGTTTGCCTCTTGCAAAAAAGTACCCAAGATTGACCATTTTTGAACCGCAGTTTCTACATCTACGCCGATTTATTCGGAGCATCAACATCCTCCCCCGGTTAACCCATGGGAATTTGAATATCGTTCGTGCCCCGGTGCCTAGGTGGGGTGGGGAATTCAACCAGCAGAATACAAAAGGAGTTTAATAGCAAAGAGTACGCTTTTGTAAGCAAATGGCTAAGAGGAAAGTTCTCACTTAATAGAATAATGCTTACGAGCGAGAAACTCAACAGAAGCGCCTAAAACTTAAACGTTACTTTGCTCACACAGAAAAATCCGTTTAATAAAGAAATTGTGCTTGAGTAGGAATTTGAACGCCAGAATGCTCAGGGAGACGGGAATTTGATCAAACCGATCTTCAACAGTTCACTTGCTTGAGGGGTTGCCCGAAAGTTCGAATTGATCGACGCAAGGTTTCAATAATTCTATCATTTTCTCTTTCTTCAGTCTCCTCCCCCATTTTTCTTTCATCTGTGAAAGAATAGGGCCACAATAGCAGGCGCACCTCTGTCGTGCGCTGGAGCTCCGCCATCAAACTTTTCAAATGATATTCACTCTTGCTGACCTTTCTCGTGTACAGGAAGATACTTATTTTTTGAAGCATCAGCCCCGGCCGAGAATGGAGACGTCGCCTGCTTTCACAGCCCTAAGATTCCTCCAACATCTTGTCGACGATTGACGTTTTGGTATCATATGTACGGAGCTCAGATGGGAACACTGAGGGTCCTAAAGAAAACTGCGGATGGAACAGCAACAACTCTGTGGAAGAGATCCTTCATGCAGGGAACACACTGGATGTTCGCTAACGTAGTAATTTCTTGCAAAGAAAAATTTCAGGTATAAAACCAAAGCGGAAGACACTATTTTAATCTAATATAACTCTATTCAAAAGCTCCCCAAATTTTCCTTGTTAGTAGGCACCTCGAGAACTTTTGAGACATGAGAAAAAATGAGACATTGGAGATAGAGTGACACTTAAATAAGTTATTCTTTGATTCGCTGCGAGGCGATTTCTTAGTTGCTTTTAAGGAGAAGAAGGCATACTATAGTTACTTGAAATTCACGAGATTCGTTACTTACGCCCGGCAAATAATCGTTAATTTGCTACCTATTATTGTGAAATGCGTGACCGATTGATATACGATTTGAATTCCATTCTAGCACCAACCTTTATCGTTAATAAACGAGTATGCCTCCCGTTTAGTTAGGAAATAAAAAGTCTCAATAAGTCTGGAGTTGCGCGCAAATTTAAACACCATCTTAAACCCTACTGATTGAGAGCAATTCCTGGCCGAAAAAATGCATGAGGTAACGTAATTGTACACTGTGTTGGTAAGGAAGAAAAAAAAAGGCAATTTCTTTAAGAACGCATTTTTTTTTACTTTTAGATTTATTTCGAGGGGATTCGTGGTTCAGGTTTTAAAGGAGACATTGGTATAGACGACGTGAGGATTAAAGACTGCAGTGGTTAGCCAATCAAAGCTAAACGTCAATCCCGCACTATGTGCCGAATCGCCTGGCAAGTGGATCACGGAAAAAAAATTATTATCTCCAACATCTCCTCTTAATCTTTCAATGACAACTGTGGTTGAATTGTCTTCCGAGGCTTATAATATTTTCATCAGAGCTGGTCTCTGCGGTTCGAAGAACAAGTATTTTAAACTAGTGCTAGCAAGAGCCATCTTAATGTAAAACCCAATTTTTTAAAAATAGTTTAAAGCAACGTGTGGAAACTTATACGGAGAATCAATTATATCTTTTAAGTTTAAAGGATAAGGTCACTTCGGTTTGCTACATAGCCTTCAAAGACACCTGCGAATATACAAAAGGCTACTTAGTGAATTGCCGTAGCGCTGTCTAAGAGAAATTGGCTTTGAACCAGGCAATTCTATTGAGCACCTTATGGTCTTCCGATATCGGGTACTATAATGTTCAGATGATCATTCGTGATCATTCGAAAAAAGATGGACGGGATTCAATTCATCGTTAATATCATCTGCTTCTCTTATAGGCAAGACGTGATTAAATGAAATAGATGAGTCTACATTCCTTCCTCTGACATTCCCAATCGCAACTCTCTTGTCATGCGTTTGTGGGCGCCCGCGAACACTTTCACTACTGTAAAAACATGGCTATAACGTCTTAACATCCACCTTTCACTCTGCAAAAATATCCAATTCTTCCGTCTTCAGCGTCAGCGGTAACTCTTGACTACTTCTAGGTTTCTCTACAGAAATGTCATTAATTTCGTTGAAGTTTGACGATGATTCCTTTTCTGGTCGAGTGGTGTGGGCAGCCACGAATTTCACTGTACCAGAAGTTGCCGATTTTGGCTGTTCGAACCTCTCTCTTGTTTTAGCCCGGATGTAACTTTTGCTATCGACGTCATCAATGCTCCTTTTAACACCCGAACCAAGACCTCGGAGACTGTCACGGACTTCGACTGTTACCTGAAGAAAAACAGAAAAAAGGAAAGTTTTGCGTGAGAAAAGTGTGAGTGTCAGAGCTCGATAAATTGTCGATTTGGAGAATAACCGATAAGGAGACGGGGCCAAATTAACATCAGTTCTATTTTGTATATTTTCATTACTCAAAATCGGCTAAAGTAATATTGTAACACAAGCTCCTTAGCCCAGAGCTGTTAAAACTGACTCCTGTGTCCTTATCCAAAAAAAAATTCGTAAATCCTTACGGGTTCAAGGCGACCTGCTCCCTCTCGTCCTAGGCCCTCTCCTTCTTTCCAGCCCATCTTTTCCAACATTTTACGTCCAACATTTTCTTCTTTGATAGGTCTGAAAACATGAAAACATTAGGGTACAAGGTATTTGAAAATGAAGATATCCGGATATAAACAGATTTTGCGAAGCAACTTTCACCAAAAGCCTAGAAAGAAGAAAAGGAAAACAAGAAACAAAACCAAACCAAGCCAAGGCAAATCAAACTGGTGATGTCAGCGGCAAACGATTGCTTTATGTCGCCTTTCCTCACGGTGGAAAATAAAAAGCAATGCAATAAGAGGGCGAACAGAGAACAAACAGACCACCCAGTTTACTCCTCATAACCAACACGTGAAATAAAGTGCAAAAGCTGACACTGTTTTTCATTAGCAGTTCCCCTTGATGTTCAATCAGCAGAATACACTCACACTACATCAAAACACATTTTACCGGTGAACGGATGCTGGGAGATCGTCAGCAGTCGCAACAGGAACGTCACTTCCCACTTTGGTGCGTCTAACATCCAAGTAAAAACAAAATCACCATCAAGTGGAACATCATAAAAATTGCTGAGTGTACTTTTAACTGTTAAGTACACGTATCAGATCTGGGCTGAAGGATGAAGACCATTTGGCAACGATAAAATGAAACCAGAACTCAGCTAAAAGTTATTAAAGCCAACCTGACTTCTGCACGATTTTTGTATTTTCCTGCAAGAGTTCCATCGGTAGGTTGTTCACAGTAAGTTGAATCCTGAAAGAGAAAATACATTTTAAAAGCTAGATTTCATAATGAACCAAGAGGTCTTGATGAGAGTACGCTAACATGGTCGGCCATAACGAGAGATACACGGGAATTACCATTCTTTAGGACTGGTTTTCAACGCCGAACTGAAGGAGATCAGCTTTCTCTGAGGGGAAAGATGAAGCCATTAAAATTTGCCTCGCTCCCTATGTATGGCTTCGTAGCTGAGTTGATAATGGCACCAACTAGTATTAGGGAGGCACGGGCTCGAATCCTATCGACGCCTGAATTTTTTCAGGCTTCTTTTCTGCAACTGCTTAAACCGCAGTCCACTTCCGACGACCATTTATTTGCATCTGTTTCGTAATGTTGAGAAGGTGGTATGAGATTTTTAAACCAATTACTGAGCGTAATGAATCAAATCCAAAACATTCGTAGATTGCTGTCGACACTTGCTTGAAAGTTTGCCCCGAAATGTGAACTAAGTGAAAAATTCTCTCTGGAGCTTACAAAAGAAATAAAGCCCACCTCTAACGCGTAAGCTCTCTTGATTCTCTTCAGTTCTGATTTCCTCTGTTCTTGAACTGAAAGTGAATTTAACGATCTATCTCCGGGAACAACTTTTGTAATGGTAACTGTAAAAAGAAAAGGAAGCAAAGTCAAAGAAACTGACAGACCACTTTAATAAGTGGACAAAATAGGTAAGTTTCTAAAGAAACTGTGGCGCTGCGTTGGTGGGAGAGTATAACAAGCCAATTTGTTATTATAAACTGAGTTGATACCGTAAATTGGCTATGAAACTCTAAACGGTGGCCAATTTACGTTATCAACTCAGCTGATAATACCAAATTCACTGACATAAGTAATTGAAAAATTAGCGTAATCTGTTTCTACCTTACTAAGCCTTCTACACATGACAAAAGTACGAAGGTTTTTTTTTTTACTTTCCTATCCCTTAAAAACAACTTTAAAGCCAATAAAACCAAATTTTGATGGTGCATGTAGTGCGCAAGAGTTTACCACACCTCTAAGCGTTTAAAATCATGGATGTGAACTGGTCACGAAGATGGCTACAAACAACGATCTCCATGATTATTAAGACAACTAATGTATTATGCATTTTTAAAGTCATTTACGGAATTGGAAGGAAGCTTTCTAAATTGTTGATGAATTTTCGAAGTCCAAACAACATTCTTTATTTGGAAATCGACATAATTGCTTGAATAAAAAGAACACCATCATCAACATTAACCATTCTAATTTACAAAACCTATAGACGATGAGGACCATACAAGTACTCGTACTTCACACTGTGCTTCTGAACGTTAACGTTTAAATTTGTAGGGAATAACAACTTTAAGGTATCTTTACACACAAATCCTAATGGACGATAAAAATAACACCTTAAAGATGTGAATCTTTATCGCCCATCAGGCTTCTGCTGTATTTCAGATGACTGCCACATGAAAACCGCGTCATTGACCAAGCTAATCAATTTTAATGAGGCGCCCAGCCAGGACAAGAAAATTCTTTGCCCAAAATATTCATATTGACTTGAATAAATTATATTAATTCTACACGGCATACATCTGCATTGAAAATAAATACATAAGAGAACGAATATTTTAAGTACTAAGCGAACTTTATCGCAAATGTTCATCACCTGAATCAATTTCATGGTCTAATATTAATTCTTCCCGTCTTCCCCACTCAAATTGACGAATCTGTTCCCTTAATCACTAAAAAGGGTCCATAAACTACAAGCTGCAAACCTTATTTTAATTCCTGGCTAAGCCTATCTACTCTTTGCATATGTTAAAAAAGGAAAAAAAAATAAAGTAAAAAATTTCAGAGTCAATCGGTTGGCCACACATCGTCTTTTATTATCGGAAAGTTACATTGTCTCTGCCTTTTCAACAAAAACAAATCTTTCTCGTGGACTGAAAGTTCCTTAAAACCCGATAAATGTAAATGTTAACAGTAAACATAACATATTCCACCTGTCGTGTGTTTACGTGTGCAATGAATAATTCATATTTGCACATTTCTAGACAAAGGCCTTATGTTGCAGGGAAAAATATCATTGGTCGAGATCTCTCCAACGCTCAACCTGTGTTTTGTCTTCACAGCAGTAACTTTTCGTTTTCCTTAGCAACAAATTGTTTAAATGCCTCAGTCATTTAGCATGCCCTAGCTGTTTTGAATAAGTGATTCAGGATTTCACATGCGGTGAGTCACTCGAGAAACGAAAATTTATTTCTCTTCCGAATGATTCTTAGCATAAGGACTAGCTTATTTGGAATGGGTAACAGCATTAACAACTTATCATTATAAGGTGCCTTTACCAAGGATCTATGAAGCATCAGTTATATTAAGAACGCAGACAGAATAACAAAGAACAAGGCAACTCAGGTGAAATTGTACTCCATAATAACATCTCGCTTCAATTTTGGTTAAAAGAATTCTTTACTTCATATTTGACAGTTATTTAGCTTCTGAGTAAAATATCAAGCGCTGTTATTAAATAAATGTACGGGAAATGATTTAAAACGATATTAACTTGATTTATTTTAACTCGAGATTTCTGATATGACGGGATTCTTGAAAATTTGACCTGTCAAACTTTCGACATATTAAAGCCGGAAGAAAGGGCTTTTCAAACCATATGTAGGTTCGATTCTTATCTCACTGTTTTTGTTTGCTCTGCAGTCTCAGCAGCTATGTCAACAAAGTATCCAGTTCAGGTGGACTGCATAAGACAAGTGCCACCCACGGCGCTCGAAACGGTCGAAGAAATCCCGGCGGTTGAGCCTGTACATCCAGAAAAAACAGCAGATAGTAGTGATGATGAATATGACACAGACTTAGAAAACGATTTCATAGAGGAAGATCCTCAGGAAAATAACCAAGGAAGGGAAAATTATCTGACAGCCTGTAAAAATCTTGGCCTGATCCCTTGCACTCCGTTTCTCAAGCAAATCGGTAAGGCAGAGATGAATCTGAAGCATTACAATCTTGGGTCGCTTGGAGCCGAAGCAGTGGCGGTAGCGCTGATGCAAAATACAAAAGTGCTGTCGGTGAATATTGCTGATAATTGCATCGGTGCAGACGGGGCTATCTACATGGCCAAGATGCTAACCGAGAACCCGTATATTACAGAACTGGACGTCTCGCAGAATGATCTGCGCACGCAAGGGGCGTATGCTATGTCAGAAATGCTAAGAGAGAACTCCGAACTCCTTGAGCTTAACCTCTCGAATAACGGTTTCCAGGAAAAAGATGCTGAACCTATAGTGGAAGCTATGAAGCAGAATTACACTCTGAAATCATTGAATCTGAGTCATAATCGCTTCTGTGAAATGGGTGGACGACTGCTAGGCCCAGCAATTGACGCCAATGTTGGTCTAGAGTATCTCGATTTGAGTTGGAATCACTTCAGAAGGCAAGGAGCGATTGCCGTTGCTTATGGATTGAGAAACAACTGCGCTTTAAAATTTCTGGACTTGTCATGGAATGGCTTCGCAGACGACGGCGCAAAAGCAATCGGCGAAGCACTGAGCGAGAACAACACTCTGACTGAGCTTGATATTTCTAGTAACCGGATATCTGTCGCTGGAGCAAAGAGTCTGGCAAACGGGCTGGCTAAAAATTCAACCTTGCAGATCTTACGCATCGGACAGAACCCGTTCCAGAGTGAGGGTGCTTATGAGATCTTGAGCGCCGTTGCGAAAAATAAAGAGAGCGCCATTGAAGAATTGTACTTCGACGACATTCCTATGAATGCCGAGTTTGAGGACTTACTGGAGGAAGTGTTGGATGAGAGACCGAATCTGAGTGTTCAGTGTGGAACGGCCATGAAAGGGAAGGACAGGGTTAAGAGAATGAAGAAAAAAGTGGTGAGTAAGCAAAAAGCGCTTTGCGAGGCGAAGAGGAAATGAGCTGGGATAATCAGACTGATTTCACTTGAAGGGGAGAACTCAATTTGGCTAGAACCAGTTTTGTCAGTTCACACAACTGACCCCTATCATTTACGGACAATACGGCAAAAATAGCTACTTCTGACTTACGATGAGCAGTCGAAGATAACAAATTATTCATTCTTAAAATTGCAGATGAATCGAGAAATTTTTCATAGGTACGGAAGAGGAAAATTAATTTAAAGACGGCGGTTTTTTGTCAACTGACAGCAGAAAAAAAGGAAAAGCTGGTTGCGGAATTTTCACATTACAGTCGGAAAGGCGGGAAAATGTTTGAGAGAAAAACCTGCCGTTTACCACTAAGTTGCTATCCAAGTTGAGATAGGTGAACAATTTTCCCAGAAATTATAGTAATCAAATTTCTCTCCTCTTTTTGCAGGACGTTCTTAATTTGCTCTTGGAGTACATCGAGCTCAGAGGTCTTCGGGTGGTAGACTTTTTCCGCCAGTTAGACAAGGACAACAGTAAAAAGATCTCTAGAGCAGAATTCATGAACGGAGTAAAGAAAGCTGGAATACCAATGACTAGAAAGCAGCTGAAGAAGCTCGTTCGAATTCTAGATACAGACAATGATGGGAATATAGACTACGGAGAAATGATCGCCATTAAAAAGGACGAAGTGTTTGACTTCTACCATAAAAAGAAGACTTACAAGAAAGACGATCCACTATTACAGTCCTTTAAAGCCGCCCAACTAAAGAAGCCCTAAACAAACGGAGGCTGTTATAGTACAAAGCAGCAACTTTTATGCCTGATTGGTTGAGATGGTGGGGCGAGATATCTGGACCAATTACAGAGCAAAGTAAAGCAAACCCGGTGCAATCACTGATTTCTTGCGACACTCAGTTGAAAATTGCCCAATTTCGAAAAGTTACTTGGCAAACGTACGCACCTACCTACACCTGGTGCTAAAAGTAAACTCTCAAAAGGCAACGGAATGTACAGGGTAACCAAATTTTCAATTTTTCACTAACACTGGCTGCCTGGCATTTTTAACTCTTAGGTTATTTTGGGCAGCCAGCACCCCTATCATTGTCTGTACTATTATTATAAATTTTTATTTCTTGTATATTTTGGGGTGAAAAAAATAAAGTTGTTGTTGTTGTTGTTGTTGTTGTAGCACTCTATCACACAGTTTCTCCTTGCTTGGTTGAGCAAACTGATGATATAACACACATACATGTACAAGAAGAGGGACGCTTTGTAAGCTCCATCAGACTGGCTCAGGGGATAAACCAACCAATCTACTTGTATCATCCAACATAATCAACTTACAATACCCAAACAATCATGTGCACTCAGTCTGTAATAACCTAAGAAACAGTTTGAACTAGATGCCAATTGCTAATATTCTGTTTCACCTTTTTCATACAAGTACAGTAAGTATCCATGAAAAACCCATATTTTCACAAAAACCTTAGAAACAATAAAATTGTCAACATTATTAAAACAAAAAACTTCATAACTGTCTACATTTGGTTCATATGCTGCACAAAACCTACAAACAGTAACAAACAACAACAGTACCATCGTCATCCACAGCAGTTGAGGTGCCTTGATGTGCCAGGGCCTGTACCTGGCCAGGCTCACAGGAGTCACATGTTTGTGTTCCTGGGTGGATATGCAAATGAAATGTGGTGGTTCCCAGGGTCAGCTCGTCACCGTGAGTAATGACCTGCAGCTGGCTCTTTTGTTTGCTCTGATGATTTCATAATAAAATCACAAAATGTCCACATTATACATTAATCACTGCCATTATTGTCTGTTTATCAATTTAAGGTCTTCGAGAATCAGTAAAGAGTTTGATTCACAATGATCAGTTTGAACCAGAGTAGGTTGGTGTTTATAATTTTGATGATTACAGTGTACCTCTGAAAGTCTTGATCCATTAAGGAATGTTCCATTTCTGCTTCCAACATCACAGATGAAGTACTGTCTCCTTTCTTTGTCAAACTCAATGTTACACTGCAGCTGAACAAATCGTGAAAAATGTGAATGGATTTACAAAACAATGATGCTCTCAGCAATTAGATGTTTGCTTAGAACTAATCACAAATGAGTGCTGCATACCTTACTGACTTCAAAATCAGGGAGTCGTATAACATGTGACATATCTTTTTCTCTGCAAGAGAAAATCGCATTAAATTTCTTTTAAAGTACACTCAGTAAGAAGGCAAAGGTTTTTTTTTAATACCGCAAAGACAATTAATGATAAATCTCCTAAATCCAAATGTTGTATGAAATTTTTATTGTGGTCCAGCATTCACTTAGGTGTTGGTTATTTTTGTTCTGTATCATAATAGAAGGGAAAAAAATTAGGAGATATTATTATGTATTTAACAAAACAATTGTTTTAATTACTATGGTCACCCATTAATAGTCATTGACACATACCTGCCAATTGTTCCTCCAGTACAAGTTACAATAAAGAGACTTCCGACTTTCATTTTCAAAGACTTGATTACAATGGCTCTGATGCAAGGAAACTGCACCTCTGTAACTGCAAAAAAAAAAAAAAAAACCCTTAAACAATTAATTTACCACGTTCACAATAAATGAACACAGCACACACAAATAAAAAATAACTTTTGATGGTTTTAACATATTATCTAGATGGTCTCCAAAATTACACTGTATGGTGTGAACATCATGACCATTTAAAATTTTTGCATAGCAAGGGCATGGCTACATATACATATGGGTGCACAATAAAAACCCCCAATATTTTAGAATGCAGAAAGCAACATTGTATGCACAGTTGGGTCATAAACCCATTAAACAGGTTCAACTGGTCACTCAGTTATGAGCAAACCAAGTTGAGATGTTTACTACTTGTAGTTCTATAAGAACAAAATTTCAGGCAAAACTTTTTAACCCACAAAAATTTGTCCAGTCCCAGATGAATGTAACCTATATGCAACCACCTCCCATAAAACATCATTGCACCTTATAGAAACTTTCCTAAAAACAGCCCTTCATGTATACTACAGAATTTATAATTAAAGAGCCACTAACTCTCTGAATCCTTGTCATTTTTTTCCTCGTCATCGCTGGTTTCTTCACCACTCTCCCTTTCATCCTTGTCATTTTTTATTTCTGTTGATGCTGCTTCTTCAAGATTACAGGACAAATCAACTTTGGAGTGAAACTTGTAAGTAGCACTTTGTTCATCATAATAGTAGTATGTTCCTGTAGTGTTTTCATAGTATAAACGGCTATTCTGAAAGAAAATAAAGGAAACTCGTCATTTTAATTTTAGAGTAACAGTTTCATGGATGTCACAAATGTAATGAATTATGACACATTCAGGACATTTAGTGAAGATCTATCGGTGGAAGATAACAAAGATGTACAACATTACAGCTGTAGTTAAACTGAAATCTATAAAACTTAAGAATATGGATCTGTGACATTTTCTTGCTTCATTTTTATTTCCTTTTATGATGATATTGTAAATTTATGTAAGAAAATTTACCTATACAATGTACATATACAAAAAATTGAATTGCAGCTTGCTGTCACTACCTTACACTATAAATAAAAGCCTTTTGTGTGAATATTTCATTGAATTATCTATCATCTTTAATAGAGAGTCTGCTGTTAAAACTTATAGCTATGCAATAGACAGCCTTTGCAGTTCCCTTCAATCAAATTTGAGTATAAGGTCTGCTTTCAGATAATCAAGACAGTACAAGCTTCAAAACTTACTGGGTCATAGTAGTAACCTGTGTTCCAGTCATAGTATAATCCTGTCCTTTCATCATAAACAAATCCACCAAGAGACATGGCATCAGCAGCTGCTTGTTCTAATGACTCTTTGAGGTCCTGTAGAAATTTTAACATAACTGGATAAATAAAAGAAGCATTGCTTTCACATATAGTAACTGTAGCCTCATTCACTCTTTAATGTGCCCATCACATTTTCCCACAAAAATATGGGTGGTACATGTAAATGGTAAATATGGATGGTACATTTAAATGCATGTTAGCAGCAGTGCTGTACTTTTCAGCAATTCTTCATTGAATATTAAAAGCCCAATTGAGAGCAATTTTTTTACCTTGCTTCCATGACCACCTGATAGCCAGCTTTTCTTCTTGTTACTGCCAATTGAAGCCTCTACATATAAAATATTTCAAAAGTTGCAATAAGAGGTACAGTTCTGATTCCTCAGAGAATGGTATACTCCAGCCCTATACATGTACCTAAGGGAGGTTAACTTTGTCTCAGAAAACCATTAACTTACATCTCCACTCATTAATCACCAAGAAAAGAAACATTTTTGTGTCTCACATTATTGACACTTCAATGTGGAATGCAGTATTTTGACTATAGATGACGTGTTAATCTAGTTGTCAGTATTATTATTGGCTGAAGAAGACTTGCAGTATGTAGTTGAAACAATGCAATCTACATTGGGAGTAACTCCGTTGTTAGAAAAGTAACTGTACTTTAGTGCCAGAGTATCATCACAGTGACTAACCAAAACTTCATCTGCAAAGAAAAGGTACACACAGATATGTATATCAATTACTAAGAAACAAGCAAACAAGTGGCAGAAAACCTTGTGTCGTGCTTTCAGCCTGTAGAGGATCATTGCTTTTATTTCTTCCCTCTAAAGTCTTCTTTCTCTCTTCTTGCAGCTTTTTTCCTAAATCTCTCACTTCAGTTTTGAGATTTTCCACACTCCTTTGTGCGCTATCACGTTCAAATTCAGCCTTCCGAAGTTTCTTACTAGCTGCCTCTAGCTCGCGTTTTAACTCGGTTATTTGACCGTTCAATTCGGCGATCTTATCATCTTTCAAAGATGCCGCGTCAAGATCTTTAGCCGAACCTTCCAATTTCCTGTTCTCATCCTCCATTCGCCGTCATGAGCCGCAAGATCTACAAAGAACACAGAATACATATGTTGGTGTTTTCCTCCAACTCCACAAAGAGCTTCGAATTCTCTGTTTATATCTTGCCACATTGCGTGCAAAACCACTATTGGCGCTAAAAGATTTCTCAATCTGTTGTAAACGTTTGAAACTTTTACTCTAGTAAAGACCAATGCTATATCCAACAGCAGAATGCTTCAGGATCTACAGCTGATGACACAGCTCGCGGCGGCCATCGCGGCCATTTTAAAATGATATCTCGAGCCAGACTTCTGAGAGTGACGGTTGGCTGAGAACGAGGCTTACGCGCTGAGAACGAGGCTGAAATAGCAGGTGCAGAAATACACTAAGGGTATAATTCACGTTTCTAAGGCAAACATTGGCGGTGAGGCGTCTTTTATTTTCTAGCAGTATTCCTCAGAGAAAGGAAACAAGGATTCGCTTGGGCCTGTCATTTCCCCAAACTGACCTTCTACTCGCAGCGGTTCCTTCGAAAGAGTGATTCAACCAAAGTCTCCACAACATGTTCATAACAGTGAAATTTGCAGGTTTGGTGAAATTTTCAGGCACATTGACTAATAAATATCGACTTGCTTGCGAAAATACGGTTAACATATTGCGCTACTGAAAAGAACCACACGAAAAATTCTTGAGCACCGAGGGGATCATCATTTCGAGGTGATGCATTAGACGCAATTGAGAATTTTTTCAAAAATGGCTAAAGGAAAAATGCTTTATTGTGCTCCACAGGCGGGTGAATAACCTTAAAGGTCTTTAATTGAACAATGAATTTTTTTTCTTGAAGTACTTAAGGACTTTTTTCAAGGATTTTATGGGGAATCTTTACCGTTATAATGTGACCAAAAGGTTCCCCAGCTCTGTCTTTTTAATCAGGACTGAATAAAATTATATTGGAAATACAACCGTCCGATATGGAAATTAAGTCATTTCCTCGACCGTAAATAGATTTTCTATTTACTAGGAAGATGCCCGATGTGTTTACCTTTCGGCTTAATCGTAATGTGTTGAAATTGTCAGCGAAATTACACAAATCATTTCCTGTTCACAATTTCATGTTAAAAATCTTTGTTCACGCACCAGAAAATTTATTGATTATCCGAGGGCTTATTGGAAGATCAGCAAGTCAATTCCCACGTTTTATTCCATACATATGTAGATTCTATTTATTCTCAAATTGTTTGACTGATTCAATTTTTTTTCAGATGACAAAACCGAACTTTTCAACCCGAATTGTAGAAATTGCCTACTGCTGAGTAATATCAAAGAAAGATGTGACTGTGAAGATGACGGTGAAAAGAGAGTTTTTTTTTTCTCAAACTTTAGCATGGATGTAAAACTTTGAAATTTTTTTTGACCCCATCCGAAATTCATGTCAATATTTAGACATAATAAAATTCAGAACTTAGCAACTTCGTCGGCAGTTCACAAGAATTATTGGCAGAAAATTGCCAAAATACGTGGAACCTAGATATAGTGCCTTCGGCGGGATTCCTTGTAAAATATAACACTCAACATGATATTGAATGGAAAACACCGTTTGCCGCTTCTGCGGTTTTTGCGTGCGTTAATGACAATTGTGTTTCTTCGTCGCTGAATCCATTCAGGAAGGAGTGGGTGAACACACCTAAAAGGAAACTGACTCATAAAAAGACGTCAATTGTTTTTTTTTTATTTAAACGATGATCCAATTCGTGGGAGGATCACAGGAGCTAGATCAAGGGAAGATTTCGATACTAGAATAGGATCGCGCTTGAAAATTAAAACATTTCTAAAAAAAAATTTTGAATGAAACGTTCGAAGATGATATATGATACTGGAAAAGGAAATGAAAAAAATCTAAAGAATCAAGACGAATACCTACAGAGTTACTCTTGAAGAAAGGTTAATTTGCATATGGCACTTGGCTACCTGTTACTTTCACGATCGTTCGCCATATTGCCTGCCGGTATTCTTTACCCACCAATAAATCTTTAAAACTTGGGTGGGTTTTGCTTTACCGTGATTGGTCCAGAAAACGCGCTCTACTCTCTCAACCAATCACATGCAAAACTATCACCAATCACAACTTGGTCGCCCGCGTTTTCCCGCGCTTTAGGCGGTTTGCTTGTTTTTATTTTGAATTCTCATTAGCTCTTTAGGATATTTTCCTTTCTTCTGATTGGCTTTTTTAATTATAATTGGGTCTGGGTTTTACGACACTCATTCGAAAAGTTCATTTATTTGAAGTTATTCAAGTATGTTCTACGTCCATTCGTAAGTTTAAGATTAATTTAATACCAGGGTTAGACATGGTACGGGAGAACTTATCACTTAACTGCACGACAAAATTTTCCTTCAGATTTCATCGACCTCTCTGATGAAAGTGGATCGCTAAAGAATCTTCAAAGTCACCCAATGGATTATGGGACAAAATACTTGAATGAAAGAGAGATTCTTATTCTTGTAAAAGGGGAAAGTAAGTTTTGCAATTATGTGTTTTTTACCTTACAACCTCGCTTATTCTTTCCTCTTAGCCTCTAGTCATAGTTTCTAACCTAATTATTATTTCTTCTTGTTTTGCAATAGAAACAGACGGAGAAAATATGACGTTTGTACCGTTACTGGAAGGAATGGAGACAAATAAGGCATTTCTCGGTAAGTGGTTTAAAATCTGATGTTAGCAGGCTTCTCAATTGATCACCGCAAAACCAAAAGTAAACAAGCCAACACAGCCAATCAGAACAAAGTGAATACATGCAAATTAAACGTCCTCTTGTATTGAAAACGCCGGAAAACGTGCGGACCGAGGTGCACTTGATTTGAGTTTGTATCGAGTTTATAAGAAACCTGCAGCTATCGTAGATATTGATAAAATTGCAAAAATTCTGCCTTCATTTGTTTTCAATTTGCAACTTGATTGCAAATGTTCCCCATGTTTTTTTTAGAGCGGCTTAATCCACCACCACCAAAACCAGAGAAAATCCGCTCAACAGCAAGGGATTCCCCGAGCAGACTTCAGGTTGAAGGGGCACGTGGAAAGAGAGCGTCACTCGCACCCAGGCCGAAACAAAACCAATTGGCACCTCCGGTGAGCTCCTCAAGGGCCCTTTCCCCGGGAAGGAGAGGCAGCAGAATAAGGAGCCAAAGTGTACAGCTAGCGCAAGCCCCATTAAGTTCTTCGCTTAATTCAGCAAGACGTGCTCGGTAACCTATATATGGTATTTTTATCATTATAGCTTTCTTTCGATGCAAGGATTACAAGAAGAGGTATTTTTTGGCATAAAAGTGATCCATGTTAGTTTGTGAGTGACAGTCGAGTCTCAACGTTAACTCCGGCAGATAATTATGGTGTGAGCACAAAGTAAGGTTCCACATACTACCATAGGAAGAGGAGAAAAAGAGTTTTCCTTTGCTAGATATTCGCCAGGATTGCTCCAAGAATTTTCTCGCCGAAACTTCTCCTTACTCCACACAGAAAGGTCTATCCTGATATCGTATAAAGAACTGTGTAAATTGTTCATCCTTGTCCAACACGGACATGTCAGTTTTTTTTCAACAAGGAGGCTCGTCGAACAAAAACTCATATTGGTTTTCCATCTACACCACGCCAAGAAAAACATTTCAACCAAATTTTACAGGGTTTAAAAGAAAATACTCATTACCAAAAGAAACTCAAGGTTTTCAAAATATTTCGTCGTTCTTTAATAAATAGAGGCTTGAAAATAAATAACCACTTTATAGCTATTTTCCTTCCATTGCATTTAAAATCTATTGTACTTGTATTTACGATTTGTAAACTATGTCTTCTCGTGTGTCTCTTCAATCGCACTTCTGATCTTTTATCGAAATTCTTCTTCTTTCTTGTTATAGACCCGAGCTAAATCAAGAAGATTTAGATTACATCCATTTTAATATATGTGGTGATCCTTGCATTCTGATAAGCTCTTATTGGTGCGATTTATTCACGAATCGCACGCACCACGTTTTGCTCTAAATCGCATCTTTCCCTCAGCGAACGAGGAAGCTTTACCAAGATACAACAACTAATCAGATCTCGAGGTTTGTTCAAAGAAACCAAACAAATTGCAACAAAATGAAAAACAGCTTTTGCAACTTTCTACGAACCAGCCCACTACTGGATCAGTACGATATTTTTACGGACTAAAATCCTATATCTGACCAACTGAATTTTGCGATTTCAAAATGGATGTAATAAAGTAGTAATTGAACTTTGTGTCGGGGAATTTTGTTCTGAAATCATACAAGTAATTTAACATCAAACTTGTGCTGCGCACTCGTTTGATTTTGAAATTACGCATATGATTTCAGGCCAAATTGTACTGCACTTAGTTCAGTTACTATTATAAATACTTTCCTGTTCCTAAACCCCATTAACATTCGGAATCTGGTCCCAGGGTATTTCTTCCTCGTCTAGTTGTTGCAGCGTCAGGCCTAGTGTCTAAATCACTATCGCAACATTTACATAGCTGACAAGCGAACTGGCCTATCGTAGACTTGAGAACAACTCTTCTTATTTGGCGATTAAAAAACCCATACAGCATAGGATTGACAGCTGTCATGCAAACAAACAAAAATGTCACAAAGAAATCTAACCCGTTGGAAGCGGTCTTCTGAGAAGCACCCGACCAAATACCGACGATGTAATACGGTGCCAAGTTAATGACAAAAGTTAAAAGCAGAACAAGAGCATTCTGCACCGTTTTCTGCTCATAGATGGAACTCTGGCGCGTTAGACTTCGCGTTATAACTTCTCTTCGCCTTCTCATTTCTTCCCTTTGGAGGGCATTGTCTCTCCTCGAGGGAGATAGCTCGAAGGAATACGACCTCGATGTGGCCGGTGAAGAGACATTTCCTTTTTCCGAAGTAGAAGGAGAGGAATTACTACCTTGTGAATTGTTCCTCGATAAGCAACATGCCAGTTTCTGACACAGAGTTTGCGAACGTTGATAGGTAAAACTACCCTGATCACTCAGTCCACGAAGTGTATTGTAGTCCGTCTTTTTTCTTTGACGTTTTGTCTTCAAATAAATAGCACGATAGATATAGAAAAGAATCCCGAGCGGCACAAAAAAACTAATCACCACGAGATATACAGAATACACCAGGTCCGGTCCGCCATCTTGCCAATCGACTGAGCAAAATGCTTTGCCAGGAATATATCTGTATGAATTCCAACCAAACAAGGGTGGAACGGCGGTCACTAACGACGTGAACCACACAAATGCTACCATTGTTTTTGCTCGACGAACACTTATTGTGTCAGATAGAGGCTTGACGATGAGATAATAACGATGAATTGCAATAAGTACTATGGAAAAATTGGACGCCATTGATACCAGATTTATCAGCATGCCTGATATTTGACACCATGCGATATCGAATGGCCAATGATCCACTATTAACGATGCCATGGTGTAAGGAGTGTGCAGGAGGGCTAAACTAAGGTTGGCAACTGCTAACGAGAAAGGGAACAGATTTGAAGAGGTCTTTAAACGGTAGGGCTGTAGCATGGCGTAACATATGGTGCTGTTTGCCACCAAAGCTATCACAAACAAGATGCCAAGGAAGAAGACCTCGGCGACCTTCTCTGGTTGGGAGCGGCTGGTTGGTGAAGCCAGAAGGCCAGTCATTCTTTTAACCCTGGGTTTGCAGACGAACTACTTTCATCCATAAGCTGAAAAAGACAAAATCTTTAGATGAGCCTGATAATGTAAATTGGCCAAAGTAAGGAGTTTTTTAAAGCTAACGTCCGAAAGTTTTTCGGTCAGAGCGAATGACGAAGATCTAACGTCCGTAAGTCAGCTTGAGAAACTCCAACCAACGGTGGCCAATTTACAGTATCAACTCAGGTGATATCTACCACCAACGCAGCACCACATTTTCTGTAGAAACTTGACCCCTGTAGATGAACATGTTTCGTTTTTCTTTTTTTCCTTTTTCATCGGAGTTTTGCGCCATTTTGATAAATCTCTTCGTCCTTGTCCATATTTTTAGCTACGCACATTCTTGATAAGTTTCGTGATGCTTTCTAAACATGTTACTTTTAGACTAAAAGGATTGAAATACCGAAAAGAAAGGAAAGAAAGGAGTGGAATTCCTTTCATATAATTCCTTTTTGACAAAGATTTTGTCATAATTATGAAATACAATTATTCTCAACTTATCTATCCGTTTATCCACCAGATTTGCCGTTGTCAACTCAAGTTTCGTTTCGACTCAACTAAGGCTAGACGCGCTCATTGCGAGCTAACGCTTGTCGTGAATAGTACATGTAATAAAATATCGCTAAGTTGCATAGAAACAAACAGCTTAGCCAAAAGCGGAGCACCGAAGACAGGCTACTGCTTATAGAATGTAAACTACAGGAGTTGAATTGTTTTTGACGGTAAATTCAGCCAATGTAAACAAGCCAAACTCGCGAAGGACGAAGTTGACTAAACACTGCGGATAATTTATGCTCGCTCTTAAAACCAGCCTGAGAGTTCAAGTGCTGAGCAAACAATGCGCTGGCATATTATCGTTTTCAAGATAAAAGGCTTAAGATGAAATGGAGCTAATGAAAAAATTCCGTTGCTATCAAAATCTTAGGCAGTCCCTAATTTATCACAGTCCCGAAAGTTTTTTTTTTTTAGTTATTTTTTTCCTTCCCGATCGACCTCAGCTTTCGTTTCCCAAGAGTTCAAGGCGAAGCGATTTTCTCAAACAATATACTACATGAGTTGTTAACATCCCTGCAACTTGTGTGGCTGTGCTATCGGCTCTTTAATGGTGTCACACTCAAAGTTAAAAAAGAATTAGAAAGAGTAATTAAAAATATTATATTTTAAGACATCAGATATGAATTATTCATTTGTCTTTGTCGATCGAGTGAAGACAAAAGAATGAGTCTTGCGTTACCCTAAATTAAAGTCTTTGAAAGAGATTTTCTTTAAAGCCGATTAAATTAAAACTAGGCAATATGTTACAAATATTTTAAACACATCGACCGAGTTCTTGGTCGAATTTTTGTTGAGTTTAGTTACCTAATTAAACGCTGACTCATTGCTTCAAATAGTTTTTGGCAGTTTGTGAATTAATTAAAATACAACAGGACGATTTCTTAGAAAAATTAACTCAAAAATTCTTTTCAAACATCGTTAAAGAGCAATTCCGAATACTATACGATGTACATGAGTTTTGGCGGCGTTGAGATTTCAGCAATGTCGGCCGATCTTAGTGTTTACATTAGCTTGTCTAACCTAAGAGTTTGTAAACTATTCATAGTTCATATTCAACTCAATTGCAACTACAATTATCAAGCGCCAACTATCTCCGGCAAAAATTGCAATGATTAAAGGAACTTCAAACTATGAGAATTTGACTATTCTGCTTACCTCTCGAGTGTCAGCCTTGACTGTCGGCGCGGTGGAACTTCTGCTACGGAAAACCGCGTTTAATTTGTGTTAACTGACACAATAACTCAAACATGGGTCGTCCTCGATTCTACCTGGAGATCTCACCTTTCTTTCTTCGATTCTGCAAAAGGTCAAGACATCTTTGTCACCCTAAAAACTATTCCGTGATCGAGGGTTCGTACAAAATTTACAGAATTGCGCCTGAAGTGTCTCGCAGTCCTCTAACCGCAATAAACCGTGACCACAAAATATTAGCCGACGAGTTTACAGATCGTTTGTTTGCATTTGAAAGGCAATTAAGTACTGAGAACAAAGGATTGAAGTATGGTTCAGACAGCTCTGACCATTAGTTAATAATAGCCGTAAATAATTTACCTGGTGTTGTTTACAAGTTAAGTTGAACTGACTATTTTAGGTTGTCGGCAGTCTCAAGAGTTGATCAGTCCTAAATTTAACCGCCCCAAAAGCGCTCAAATATCGTGAAACAAACCAGCTGACTCAATGAAATTTAAATTACTAAGATTTCGGTTTTTTTTGCGTTGTCAAAAATATTGTTTGGATAACCGGTTTGGGGTTTTTGAGAGATGTCATCGAAAGCAATTTGCCGCATGGCATTGCGGTATTTCCAATTGTGGACTCGCCTTTCTTGTTCAGGGTAACTTTCAATAAGTAACTCGGAATTACAAAGATACCTTTTTGAGCTTCTGAACTGACAACCGGTACCACTGGACCCTGGCTGAAATTTAAATTGTCAATCGTATCATCCGTATCGACAACTCTTACTGGTCGATGAAGACTCTGGTCAACGAGAAAAGACAAGGCATACTTATTTCCTCTGAATTAATTTTACTTCCATTTCTATCATGAGGTAATCATGGGTTTTCGCAGTCTTATTTCTTTTTCTTTCCTTTTACTTAATCTACAGACTTTTGACCAGCTTTTCATTAATTTTTTGACTGACAGTGTCATGTGATCACCAGCTGCAAAGAGCTTGTTGGGGATGGGCAGATTATTGTTAGAAAGCAGGCCAACTCATCGTTTCCTTTTAAACTAGTCATGCTGTTTAATCCAGTCACGTAATGAAGGCAACCTGTCGTAACACGTTGATACATCTTTAGGGAGCGCGCTGGGTGCCAAAACCAAACAACAACTGCTAGTGAGACCTTCAAGAATGAAAGAATTGGGTACTTTGTAGGTCTTGGGCCATTTCAATTTGGTTTCGTGCACTCGAAACTGTTCAAAACGACAAGGAAAACAACAAAAGAAGCTTATAAAACGAAGGAAATCGATGTGAGTTGCGTAAAAACGCGAGCGTCCAAGTTTTATCGGTTTTACCTATACAATCCCGGATTACTCTAATAGCTCAGTTAAAAACCACTCACGCTTCATCACGAAACTCTTTAGCCTTGTGAACTGATTTTGTTTGAAATTCAATCCTCAACATAATGGCATGCTTTTATTATGTCGCAAAGGTTTAGGCACTCCCTTCACCTTAGAGCGACGTTCGCGCCATCTTTTCACATTAATCAAGAGTTTCATGTGGCAAATTTCTTCAGCGATTCTACCCTGATAACACAAAGAGCAACAGTAGCCAAGCGACCCATTCGCGCAAATTAGTCGCACCAAGTGTTAAATTTGTAAAGAATCCCCTGTTAATTTCATCTTGTTAATAAAGTAGGTACGAACTATCATGAAAATTAAAAATATCATCTCCAGAGGAAATTTCAGTACTCTTGCCAAAAGGTGTCTTTTATCCCGGATTACTTCTTTGTTTAGTTCTGATGAACGTCCTTCAATAATGACTTTTATTTAGCTTGCGCCTGAAAAATTTTATTCAAATGTAGCGCATAAAGTCAGCGTGAACGGGTTCATGGCAGTTCTGCTTTATGCTCGATTTCTTGATGAAATTGCGTGAACAACGCGGGATAGACTAATTGTAAATTCACGAAAAGTCTCGTGCGCGAGTTGGTGAAGAAGCCGCAGTGAAATGTGATCTTGAAGAGACTGGGTTCCATCTCATGTGTGAATCCGCTGGAGAACCCTCGACTTGCCGAAAATCTCTTGCAGCAGAAGCAGACGATTTGTCTTTTTGCGTGTCCCCGTCACCTCCCTTCTGTGTTTGGTCGCCGCCTGCGCTCGCACTATCTGTTGAAGAATCGGTTAACCCACCGGAAGGGGGTGAGGGGTCATTCTTAGGCTTCCCTGTGACCTGGCCATAAACCGCCAAAGCCTGTAAAGCAACAGAAGGGATGAGATGTAACGACTACTTTTTTTCCCCTAGACGAATGCTCTAATTCATTCCCAGAACAGCATTTCCCAAATTTCACTTTCCAACAGAAATCGTTTTGACAAATTGACAACTGCCAGTAACAGGATGCTGAGCCCGGAATCAATCCATTCTTTAACAAAACCTTTATCATGATAGGGCAACATTGTAACGTCTCTAAGTCAGTAACGACGATGATTCAACAATTTATAGACGGAAGTAAGCGTGTTTCGTCTCAATGCCCTACGGCTAAACACAGCAAGATAGCGACACTACGTTTCTCTAACAGCCGCCAGAACTCAAACATGGTATTGAATGAGCACTGTTTGATTCTTGAGTTACGTAGATAAAGGAGCTTAATAAAGCTTTGTAAGACAAGTTAAAGAAAAATAATCAACATACGAACAAACAAACAGACAGTTATACAGACGCTTAAACTGAACAGACAGTTAAGGATCCTAATAGATTTACACAGAGAGCACACGTCACTTGGGCAAATAGGCCTTTATCATTGGAGCCTAGGCTCAAGCGTTTCTTCGTTTCAAATCTCCCCGCGGACGGAAAACCCGCGCCACGCGACACTTACAATGGGTACCTGCTCGCAAGCTACTCAAAAAACCCATAAGTTTTGACCCAAAGATGTGCTGTCTTTGTAACAGTTGTCTATGAACAACACTAGTAAAATGGCTCTCACCTGTGCCACCATTGAACCCGCGTCTCCCACATTAGCTGGTAACACCACCGTGTTGTTTGTTTTAGCCAGATTAGAGAATGCGTTCACGTACTGTTCAGCGACATTGAGCGTAGCTGCTCTCTCACCTAACTAGAATAAGATCAGTGAATTGGTTCAAAAATTTTTCCCATTGCAATCTGTTAATAGACGAGATAACGCGGAAAAGGTTCCATTGCTAACGTTCACTCCTGAGTAATGCTGCCTAGAGACTACCGAAAAAAACACAAGAACTGCAAACGTACATGTTCTTAGATGCGTGATGTAAAAAACAAATGACCCATCAGTAGATTACGCTACGTCTACGAATATATTACCCTTTACATCCCAGCATCAGTATGCATATTCTCCATACTGTTCTCTATACATTTCCTAAGGTGCTGACAGGGAGAATTTGTTTAACAATTCACAACTTCTTTAGTAGGTGATCATTTCCTTTATTCTCGTGACCTCAATGTGTGCTTCAGGGATGATATTGTGAGGAGAAATTAGATACTGGTCACTATTAGGGGTCAAAGGATTGAGTGGATTATGAAGGTCTCTCCTTTGAACCTCGGAGGAGGAGAAGCATTTTATTCCTTGTTTTCCCAGCAGTTTTCTTGTTTACATACATCCTATTGGAAGTATCATACCTCATCACAAAAAATAAACACGGCTCTTTTAAGCAAACGCATTCGAACACACCTGCCGTTGAAGGGCCAAAGAGACTTTTTCAATTCCTTCCGCGCGAGCTGTTGCCTTTGCAACAATTGCATTCGCTTCACCTGTATGGTAAAGGTTACATAGGTCAAATTAAACTTATTTTCCTTTTCTCGTGTAAACGTTTTCTGTACAAGCACAATCGTTTCATTACAGCGCGCACACGTTTTCCGTGGGCGTAAACAGTTGCGAACGGTTTCCATTCTCGCCCTAACGTCATCTTTACACCCGCCTCTGTTTTCTACTCTCGCTAAAAGATTTTCTACGCGTGTGCAGCTGTTTGCACATTACGCACAAAGCTACTGTGTTGATTTAGACATACGCCACCTTTAGTGATTCAGAGAAATGTAGAAAGCAGCAAGTTACCAGTAGCAATGTTTATCTGTTCCATCTTCCTTGCTTCAGATGCTAAAATCTGACTTTGTTTTTTCCCTTCTGCGACATTGATGGCGGCTTCTCTTTCACCTAAAAGCCAACAAAACGGTACAAATAAATTCTGAAAAAGCAATTGACACCGTTAATAATTATCAAGGACTTTATGCTGCTAATAAAGGCAAGAGGGAAGTATTAGAAATACGTGTTGTTGTTTTTTTACCTTCTGATTTCAACACTGCAGCACGTTTCATCCTCTCAGCTTCCACCTGAGCCGATAGAATACAGAAATTACTTAAAATGTCTTTATTAGCTAGCAACAGTGTTCAACCGTTTACATACAACGCTGGCAAATATAAAGAGGAGTGGCAAGGGGCCATTTTTCTCAGATTTTTCGCGAAGCGAAACTGAAACCAATCGCGCCTTGATCACTTAAATTTTCCCGCGCATCAGGCAATAGTTGCTTTCCACATTGGCGCCTTGTGATTTTCCTTTGTTCTAATTTCTTTGGGTTTGGTTTCACGACACTTAATCAAAAAGCGTTCTAAAAGGAAACTGCTAACAGTAAGGAAGACTTCCGATTCAAACGAACAACCAGGGGGAAGGAGTGATGTAACCAACGAAGGCTACCTGCAATGTTCATTATAATAACATCGCAAAAAACGATTTTTTATGTCCATGTGTGCTGTTTATTTGGCGTAATTTCAGTTTGCTTCGTCTCAATGCATTATTGCAGAAAACATCAAGATAGCGACAAACGTTTTGTTTTAACTTTTGCAGCAAAGTAATCCACAAACAGCACAGAGCAACGTGAACTGTTTGTTGCAGTAGCTGCTGTTTTAGCAAGATGTTATTACATTGGGCTAAGCGTGGCATTCAAAATTGATTGATACTTGCAGTTTTCCATAGTGTTTTGATATTTTTCATAGTCATTGACTGGTTACACTTTTTGAGGATGAAGAGGAAGATTGAAATGATTGACCTTGAGGGTTTGGGTAATCTGAGTGCTTCTTATACTATCTAATATTTTCATTACTTGTACCATTTTAAGTCTTGGTGTCAACTGAAGAAATTTGCCATACCTGCATTTGCATAGCCTCAACTACTGTGTTTGGAAGCTGAATATCCCCTGGAAAAAAGTAATCATTTCATGTCCTAAAAAGCCTCACATCCATCATATATTTTGAACATTGACATTAACCTTTTTATCCCTTCAATTGATAAGCATCTAATTTCTCCCAATAAGGTTGTAAAAATAAAGGAAATGATGGCAAACTCAAGAAGCCCTTGATTATTAGAAAAATTCTCCATATAAATACCAAAGGTAATGTATTAAGAAGAGTATGGAGAACTTAAATATTGATTACTGGGTGTTAAGGGTTAAGTCCAACAAAACAACTGATAACACTTCATGACATGGGAGTACGTCTACTCCACCTCGCTAAGATGTTGGTCCTTTGCAAGGACCATTCAGCACTTTTCAGGTTTAACTGATGGGACACTGGCAACCCTTTATATTCTTAGGTCAGGAGGGGCTCTATGAGAGTTAAGAACCTTATGTGAGAGCACAGCACAAAGGGCACATCATGCAGATCTAAATCTTGATCTCGAGACCAGAAATCCAGCTGCTGAAACAAGCTAACCATACCCCAACCTTTTTTTGATATACAATAAACAGTACTGTTACACTTACGGATTTCATATCTCAAGCATCTTATTCCCCAAACTTCAGCAGCATGGTTGATGGCCTCTAATAGGGGAAAGATGTCATTCAAGTTCAGAATTTGAAAAAAACTAATAAAAGTAAACACACCTTACAATATATAAGTAATCATCACTGTTAAACAGTATTTTTTCCCTTTCTTTCAGTCCAATTAATTGGCAATAAATGTACCATGTGCTTACTCAACTGACAGTTTACCAACAAATTCATGAAAGACAGGCAAGTGTCTCTTCACTGTTTCTTTCTTGTTGCATGTTTGGCCATAGTGTATAAATCTAGATAAACGATTACAAGATATTTTTGCACCAACACTGTAGTGACTAATGATTATCACATACTGGTAACTGAGGCACTATACAGCAACTTTTTTAGTGGAAGGCTGAATCAACATTTTAACATGTTCAGTTGCTGACTGCCGTTTTCTTTTAGCAAATTTTCCTCTTTTTGAGATTACAGCATCACCTAAGAAGACACTAGATCTCACCTACTATGTTGTGATTCAGTCTTTCTCGTTCTTGAAAGACATGATCTAAACTTATTTTACCTGCAATGTAAGTGTAACAAGACTCAGGAACATTTCAGTCAATTTCAGACATGATGTGAATTTCAGACTAGCTGTACATGTACAAATCTCAGCTTAAAACTTAGGTAACATGATATTTACCCAATTCAGACCTCATGGTTGTCTGAGCCAACTGTGTCACAGCATACTCTGGGTCTTCCACTCCATATGAAGCCTAGTATTTGACAAAAATACAAAATTCATGTATCATAAGGTTCTAGAAAATTTTATCAATAATTTAAAGCTCAGTTTTGAGTACTAAAAATATCAGTTTGCTTCGTCTCAGTGTATTATCATAGAATGCACCAAGATAGCGACAAAAATTTGCAGCCAAAATAATCCACAAACAGTACAAGCAAATTAAACTGTTTGCTGCAGTAGATGCATTGAAAGTTATTAGCAAGAAAGCCAATTTTTCTTTTTAATAAATATATTTAATTTTCTGGACACTAGTTCTGTTTATTCTCTTACATTCACTTTCCATTGGAAAAGTTCCTTACCAGTTAGCAAAACTCAACATTCATTTTTTAATACTCAAAATACAGAGGACATTACCTAACTGCTAACAGCTGGTCAGTTTTTATCTTGGACTAAATTTCCAAGCTATCATGTTCCATAGTTGAGCCAACATCTTCCGTTAAATTTTGAGTAAGAGGAAATTTGTAGCAACAAAACTACTCTAACTTGTTAAAAGAGTATTGGGTGCAAAGTTTTTGTGTTCTATTCTCTACATATTAAGTAGTTTTGTCAGTAATAATGGCAGATCAGTCATACCAACTGACAGTACAATCTTATGGTTTTTGTGGAAAAACAGAGGAAATGTTCACAGTCTGGAAGAAAAATCATGTAAAACCAACCTTGAATGGATCAACCACTCGCAGATACAACACACCATCAAGATGAAGAGTGACATTATCTATGATGAACAACCACAATGTTCAGAGTGATGAGTTACCTTCAGTTAGTAATTCATAAAGGTAACAAGAAAGTACCCACAAATATTAAAATAGAATGAGGAAAGGAAAACACTAAATTAAATCAAATCAATTTAAACTTGTAATAACTGTAAGATTTTGGCCCACTTGCAATACAATCAAGTTATCAGATGCTATTACATTTAGTTATCAGACAACTATTTAACTCCAAAATACAAACAAATAAACACAGCAAAGAAGAAAGTATCTAAAAAAAGTTTTATCACCGGACTACAACTGTAATATTACAATTAGTTCTTGTTTCCTAAGGTGCATCTACATACTTAAGAGCAACTTAAGTTCTTACCAAGTGTGATGGCAGACTGTGAAGGAATTTCAATGGCGATTTCCTTTAGGCTTTGCACATATTTAATATCATCAATAACTGGAAGGAGAATAGCAAGACCCTAGAGAGAAAGTTAATTGACAATACAAGATTGTATTATAATTCTGTGGGAATGGCATTAAAAGGGGAGTTTCTCTTAAAAGCTCAATACCTTTTTCTCGCATAATAAGTTTGTACTTACTGGTTCCAAGATTCTGTTAAATTTACCAAATCTTTCAATTATCCAAGCCTCTTGCTGAGGAACAAATTTAACCACCTAAAATAAGAAACATCATTCAATAAAGGCATATGCATAAAAAGCCACAATCAATAAGATGATTGAAATATTTTGGTTAAAACGTCTCCTTGATATCTCTCACTTTAAAGAGTTACAGTGCAGAGTTACAAATTACCCTGTTTTGATAAACAAACATGGTGCAGCAATTTTGTTGGCAGAGTGAACCAGATTTTGCCAAACATTAGGGAAATAACTTGCAGATGGGATATTAAAAGAGAAAAATGTGGCATGATGCATCCCAAGAACTTGTGATGGTTTGAGAGTGAGATTAGATTGAGGTTATAATAAAGTTTAGTCACATATGTGACAAAGACGTCATTTTCTTTTGTTCTAAGTGGTGAAACCTCAATGGCACACTTCTAGTCTTCTCCAGGCTATGACACTGATTGGATTAGCTTATCCAGTTGAGCTCATAGCCTAAAAGACTGGCAGTTAATAATGGAAATTTTGTGGTCCATATAGAGGGTGACTACATCACGAGACAATCAATTATTCTTTATTATCAGTTAATCTGCCTCAGATGACCACATCTGTTTTATAAAATCAATTGAGGTTGTTGGTGGTTCATGATCTCTGTCTTAGGCATATTCCTCTACTGTATGCATTTATTCAGCAGAACATAATAATAACTGTTGTAGCAATTTCACTTACAGTGTTGACAGGAAGTTTTTTCTTTGTCCTGCTGTAGCCATATGCCATGGTTCTGATGGCAAACTTTGACTGGAAATTCTGCAATTTATAATAGATTATAGAGGGGGGTATTGGGGCCTATTAGAAACTGCAAAACCATAGAAAAATCATCCAAAACGAAAAAACTGAAAAAAATTTTATCAAAACTGGAAACCACATGCAAAATTGTCAAAACCAATACATTTTCACACCCCAGTTATTAAAACCCTGATCGATCTGATACAATAGTGATAAGTGGAGCATACAAAGTAAACTACACTAATTTCATTACAGGATTTATGAATTCCATGGACTTGGCATTTGTATCTTCTAGTATCAGCTTAAATTAACAGCTGCTCTCTTGAGGACCTAGACTGTGGTCTCTGCGGACTCAGCAGCTGGTAATAGAGCCAAGCTAAATTAAGGAAATTCACACTAAAGTCCTCAATAGGATTGAAATTTTGCAGTCGCAAAAAGCTTTAGCTCTGGAAAGTTTCATTAAAAATCCCTAATCTAACATTTCCATTTGCAAACTAAGACCTGAAAGTTTGGAGATTCTCTGGCAATGTTCTGTGCCTAGCTGTACCCTACATGTAGCCGTAAGAAAATCCACAAACTGCAAAGATCACCAAAACTGAAAAACCAAAGTTTTTGGCACAAAAACCGAAAAAACGATCCAAAAAAATAGCCAAAACCGCAATACTGAAAATCCTCCCTCATAATATAAAATAATTAAATCTTTATACAGTAGTAATGCATAAAATGCAAATGAGGAAATTGTGTTGTAGATGCGTTTATTTTCTAATTTTTGTTTCCTGTTCTTTTAACTTTGTTTGAAATTGGAGTTATATGGAAGTATTCTACACACAAACATACGAGACCTAGACTGCAGATGAGCTTTATTTTCACAACTTATAAATTCGAAGTTGCATGCACTTTGGTATATGTTGCTACAATATACACATGAATGGCATTTTTAATCATTCTCCGATCAACTAAGAACGATCACAAATCTGTTAAACGAGATCAAGGGACGACGGACTTCAAAAATTTGAAATCTAGAGTAGAAAAAAGGGAAGGAGTGAAAAAGTGCACTGAATTCAAATGTAAACTTTGTTATGTCACACAAATTAACAAATGGTCAGATCATGAGAGGAAGAGGTAGAAGCTGATAGGGCGAGAAACGTTTACCTGAGAAGAAGCACCAGTGATTCTCTGTAGAACCCTTGAAGACAGCATGGTTAAATCTGTTACAAATTATTGCAGTTTTTCCTCCTTCTTAGCAGCTACTAGATTTGCAACAATTCCTAGAAATTTCATTGTACGGAAATAGAATAGTGAGTGAAGAGCACGTGTTACAGTAGGGTCAGAGAATACTCTCCATCGGAAGAGGCGTAACGCATACAGGCCGCTGACAGAACTACCAGCTCAAATGTATCCTTCTTTCCCAGTTTCCTATCGGTCAAATCCAAAATGGCGGTTCTTGCACGTGTGTGAGTGATGCCGAAACTCTCTTTTTAAAGCTTAAAACTGGGAATCCGAAAGATGCCTTCAGAAAATATTATTTCGCGTTTCTGGGAACTTGCGTCAAATGACGAAACTACCCGTCTGAAAGCAGCTTCGCAGCTGTTAGATTCTTTACACGAAGCTCAAATGCACCACGAAGAAAAAGTCGAGGTAACAAAACTGTATGTACTCACTTGTGAGGACACTTTATCGTGGTAGATGTAAGACTCATGCTTGCGTAATATTTCGCGTCGGAGATATGAATTTTCCAGAAGGAAGAAGGTCTAAAAATCCACCTTAAGTTACGCTACCCAGCTGTTGTATTTTATGCACGTAACTCACGAGAACTGTCTTTGTTTACAATGTTAGATAGAAGAAAATGCCAACGACGATGACAAGAATTTTTGTTGTGACGAGCTGGAATACAGTGTAAAACGGCTTGTAAAAGGTTTAGCTTCTTCGAGGAAGGGAGCTAGGCAAGGATTTGCAACAGTGTTGACAGAAGTCCTCTCCAAGTTTGTTTCTCTGTCCCCCGAAAGAGTGCTCAAATTAATTGGTGAAAATTTAGAGGTCACTGGTAGCGCCATATCCACGGTACAGATTATTTAAAGAGATTGAGATGGGTTGTTTCATACTTTTAACTAATTTTCTTGATATTTCTTTCTTACCTTGTTTCATTTCATATCAAGATGCTGTTCTATTTACATGCATGAACTTACATAACTTGTTGTTTTTCGCTTCAGGAAGAAAAAGACCGTTACATAGGGCAGTTATTTGGCATGGTGTCTGTGTTGAGGTCTCAATGTGATCATGATAAAATCTCTGTAAGTGTTATCTGTACCAGAATAGTTTTTAGTTCTAATAGTTGGCCTATTTTAAATTTACTAATGGTTGTTTTAAAATGCTGGTGATTTCATTCACAAGAGGGAGGGAAATTTCAAACTCAGCAGTCTTTGAATTGTCACTCAAAGGAATTGTTTTGATTGCAATTTTTCTTTGCTTTTAGACCCTTGACTCAAACTGGCTGAGCCCACTCATTTCCAAAGTTATTGAACTAAGCAAAAAGAAGAGTTATTTACAGGAGCTCTGTGCCAAGGTCATTGTAGACATATTTCCTTTGGTGAGTAATACCTGTGTAACCTTTTGTGATAAAACAGAAACCAGTCACTGTATAGTCTTATCTTTAAGAATGCGTTGATCGTGGGAATAGAATGGCACAATTGCATGACTATATGTTAATTATGAATATTAATGTTGCAAAATTTTGTCAGGTGAGGTGAATATTGACTAATGTGTGTTGTTATTTAGGACCATATAACCAGAATATTGATAGACTTTACTGTCACTTCATGTTCATATTAATATCAGTTGCAGTATATATAATAAATCATTTGATGTTAAGCGACAGGTGTATGTGATTGATGATTATTTGCTCACAGTAAATATCATACTACATACATGTTTGAGTGGTCCATTATGTGTAGATGTGGTAGACTTGATCATGTAATTACATTTTATGTTTTAGTTGAAACTGAGTGTAAGGGACTCAATCTGATTTAAAATTATTTTGAAATGTATTTTCCTTTTTTTCCAAGCACATTATCATAGGTGTAAAGCAAAGAAAAAATAAATCAAAACCAGTTTGAAACAATTTCACCTGAAATTATGATCAACTGCAAAATATGTCAAGAAGTGGGGTTCAAGAAAGATTCTTGGATTAGAATTTTCAATTTGAAATCATTTTCTTCTGTGTGAGAGTATAACAATGATTTCAAGATAAAGGGGAATAAAAATATGAAACCTAAACAAAATCTGAACCATGACATACTCTGCATACATGAAACAGTGATTAACGATTTGGTTCCAGGTGTCTGAGGATGTTTTTAAAAATTGCGTGTATCCATCTGTGAAGGAGATCTTTGAAAGTGGCTGGACACAGGCTACACCTGAGACACTTCTTATTTCCCTAGCACTTCAGAGATTCTGGGAGGTATGTATTGAAATGGCATTAATTGTAAAATGCACCTTTATTTGATAGCAAATGATATAGCTGACTCTTAATCGTTGACAAACTCTTGTCAACTTTTAAAATCTCAAGGCTGGTTTTTATTTGGGTGAATATCCTGAAGACATTTTACTTTATCTCCTAGAGGTCATGTTGTGTATGTTCCTTGAGTCAATTGCATGTGCAAATATTTTGTCAATGCATTGTTACATTATAAATGATAAAACTGAATGTAAGAAACAAAAAAACAGGGAATCATTTTAATTATTTGTTTAACTGTTAATATCCTTTCCTTGCCTCAGGAGCATTTGGACAAGAAAGTGATAAAGTTTGTATGGAAAAGTCCACTCATAGCTGACACACAAAATTACAAGCAGATGTACACTGTCTTACAGGTACATGCTCTTGTCAAAATCATCATTTTATGACCTATTCCAGTTCTATGTCAGAATAATCTCCTCTTAGTTAATTGAATTTGACAACTACTACAATTATCAAAGATATCTTTTGTCAGAAAAATGATGTACACAATACTGCTCAAAAGTAAGTTGATGGTGTCAAGTCAAAACTCAACCCTCAATCCACAAAACCATCAAAGATCGAGAATTGAGGGTTGAGGCTGGAGAACATTATGGTGCTCCAGACTTTTAGGATCCAAATTTTTATTTTATAATACAATTTGTTGCCACTCATGATTACCATGCAAAGATGATTGCTACATATTCATAAGCATTGTAACATGCATATACATGTACATATATTAAATTAATTTATATTAATCAGTTGCTTGCCATTTTGTCTGTGACTTGTTTTAGGATTCCATCTCGTCCCATCCAAGAGTCCATTGTGTTTGGGATGAAATTTTCCTTGCAGTATGTAAGAATTCACCTGGTGACTTTGAGATGTTTTGGAATACGGTTGTTGAAGGTAGAACATGATTTATCACCACATTCATTTATACAATAGTTAATATGAATTTTAGGTTCTTGTTTCTTGTATTTTTACAATAATCTGTTTGAAATTAACATGAGATGATTTTCAGCCACAGCATTTACAGTCACTGTGTATTGCTAAGTAAACATATAGTATAAGAAAATGATTTTAAGATCAAACAAAGTCATTCAGAGTTGCCAAATTCTTTTGTTACATGTGTATTATTCACAGTCATTTCTGTTCATTTTTAATCATAAGATTTCACTGTTTCTGTACAGATGGCTTGTTTCAGTCCACACATGATAGAAAGTTTCTGGGTTTTCAGCTAGTCAAGAAAATACTGCCTCAACTCAGTGAAAAGGAGGTGAGAAGTTACCATATTTTATTGACTCCTGATGAAAAAGAAACTCACAAGACTGAAAACCACACCAGTTGTTTCATGTGTAATATTTAACACTGTGTAGTTGACTCTATATAACATGTGAAGGCAGACTGGGGGTGAATGTGTTGGATTCAGGGTTGAGTCTATTTTAAAACCTGGCTATTGTTTTGTTTTGATTCCTTGCAGGGATTACACGGTAATCTCATATTGCTAATTCTCTTTGATGGGGAGGGTAATAGGAATTAGGCTGCAAAATGTCTGAGGAAGCTAAGCTGACAAAGTATTGGAAAGTTGGACTGGTATCTTGTCAAGGGAATGATGTTTCCTGCTCTGTGCTTCCACGGCTGGGATAAATTCTTAGCCATGCAAATGAAACTTGAAACTTTAACCCTTTTCAAGAATCTCCTAACTTTGCAATTTTGTAAACATTGTCTGAGTGTACTTTTATTCAGGTGTCAGTTGTGTTTGGTGCTCACATGATGAGGAGCTTTATAAACAGTCTGTCATCATCACAAAGTTATCTCCATGAGGCAGCAAAACAGTTGGTGAATAAAAAACTTGCATTTATATAAAAACTATGTAAATCTACAGTGTACTACACAATTAAGAAACTTAAAGGTTGTTAGTGTTGGATGATCTGCAAGATCTGTTTGCTATGATACAAAGTTACTGAAGGCATTGTAAGTTACAGTATATTGTACAGGCATTTTAAGTTACAGTATATTGTACAGGCATTGTAAGTTACAGTATAAATATGAAAAGAAGGCTGTTCATTTTGTAAGCAAATGCTCCTTGGGCAACTTTAGACCCCCATCAATGAAAAAAATCTTAAGTACAAGATTATAAATGTAAAAAAGCCTATTTGGGTGACATTAGTCCCCCCCCCCCCCTTGAAGAAAGCCTTTTTGAGTTATTCATTCAGGATTATTTTAAGGTCTTAATAATTATCAATAACATCCAATTTCATGAATGTGGGTGACCTGAGTCTACCCCATCCTCAGGGAGGGATAGAAAAGAAAAGATAGAAAGATAGGATAGAAAAGGACACCCATTTATTGTCTGTATTACTCTACAGTGTATCTCGAGGACAGATGTAGTCAACATTACTTGTGCATTAAATTTAATAATCCTCAAAATATGCTGGACTTTGGTCAGATTTTAAACTAAAGTTGCAGGATGATATTGTGGAGTACTAATTACTTCTCAGCCACCCTAAAAAAACCACAGGTAAATTATTTATCTGTGGTTTTTTTAGGGTGGCTGAGCATTTTATTGTGAATCAGAACTGTTTGAGTACAAATCCAGCCCCTATACATATTATTTATTATTTCACAATGGGGAAAATGAGATGAGATGTTACCTTTTTTGCATACTGTCTTGTAGCTTACTGCACAATTCTGAATTCTGTTTGTCTTACTGTAGGCTTCAAGTCTTCCTGCTTTAGTGAACCAAAGCAAAGATCCTGGAGTTCCAGTGGTGGTATTAAAACAGCTTTTAGGAAGGTACAGTGCTGTAATTTTAGCAAGTAAAATAATTAAACAGGGAAGTTAGCCTTGAAAGAAACCTTGAGCTGTGTCTTGGACAAAAAGATTTACCCTCACAGTATGTTTACACTGTGCCTCTGAATGTCATGATTATAAAAAAAATGGATACCAGAAGTTGAAGAGTGAGGAAAACTTGGGATAGGTACCTGGCACTATCTGATGTAGAGTAGCATCCCCCTTCATGTGGAGATGCAATACTCCAAGTTACTTTTAGGAATGGAAACTGGGATTAAGTCTGACAATAAAGGGGCACTCTGCTCGTAAGACCTGTTTACAGAAACCCTTTGGTTAACTACTAATCCAAATTGTGTGGGTTTTTCTTTTAGAAATGGCATTATGCATTTTGACAAGCTGACTAAAACAAGAACTGTGGACAGTTTACTTGGAACAGTGAGTTGTAACTTTAATAGACTTTATTAATAGGATATTCTGCTATACTAAGCAGATTGTTTTGCTTTTCTTTAATTTTCAGTCTGAGATGAAAGTGGCTGTTGCCATGGGGATCAGTTTTGAATGTTGATCATGATGTATTGGTTGTTCATCTCTGCTAAGTGTTTTTTTTTTTATTTTTTTTACAGCTTCAAGGATCAGGACCACAGATGTTTGTAGCATGGCTGCTTGATATTTTTGAGAAAGGAAATTTTGAAGATTCTACAGAATCAGAGTAAGGATCAGTAAAAATTATTCATGAATTTATATATACTTGACACTATGTATGATAATACTGTAATGAGCACGTTAGTAGCCAGTGAAAATCCTGGCCAGCAGAGTTGCTGCAGAACACTGACCAGCCACCTTTACACAACAGCCTCTTGCCCCCTCCCAAAAAACAGAGCTCATGCATACATGTGCACTTACACCTTCCCATAACAGTCATCTCTCAACAATGGCCATTTTCCTATGTCCTCAATGAGGCCACTGTGGAGAAGTTTCCCTGTCTCTGTGAGTGTTGTTTGTTTGTGCATACATGTATGTGAGCATCAGCTGTCTGTCAGTGTGTCTGTTTGTCAGTCAAACTTTCCTTGTATCTTTGTGTGTGCCTGTTTATCTTGGATAATCAATGTGCAATCCCTAGCTTGTATAGCTGTGAAGTTTTCATTCACTCTGTATCATCTTTGTGTTCTAAATTATTTGGCCACTATGTAACATTTGTTTTCTTTCTAGGTCCTTAACAAAGAGTGAAGAGTCAAGTAGGATTGCAGTTTTAAACCAAGTTAGTGTTGTTTATAATTCCCCTCTTGATCTGTCTCTATATCTAATTATTTAAAGTTTGCACCATGTATTTACAGTGTAAAATATAACATTTTATTATTATTATCATTATTATTGTCATTACTATACAAGACTTTAACTAGACATATGAGACTACAATACCTCATATTACGTTTAACTTAATAAGTTGAAGAAAAAAGTGTAAAACATAACTTGTCTTTTGTCTTACTTTTGTACTGTAATCAGCTTTATCAGTTGGTCAAGAAGAAGTCAGGTACACATGAGGGGAACTGGTTACAAGATGTGCTTTTCTTCTTCCTTAAGCATGCATATTTCCAAACAGTTGGAAAGAATAAAAAAGTTAGTATATTTATTTTGATATTCACAGTGAATTACAACTTATTCATGTAGAGTATTTGTATCTGTTAAGAAATGCTTGTAATGCTTTTTGAAACAAGTAAAAACTTGCTTGAAACTCACATTTCAGCAAAAGATAGTCTCTTTCAGATGCATTTTTCTCTCAAGGAGACTATCAATGATTGTTGATGTGATAAAACTCATTGTAAATTTCATTGTTTTTTAATTTACATGTAAACTTTGAAGTTATTGGTCAGGTACTGTTATATTTTTAGATGCTGAAATTGAAAACAGCTAAATTGCTTACATGCATGTTTGTCTTTGTACTACATATAACAGGAAACTTTGCCAGCTTCAGTGAGGCAGATTTGTGAACAGAGATTTGTTAGTGCACTAAAATACTTATCATCTAGCAGAGAGATGAAATCGTTTGAGCTCCATGATATTGTGCAACATGCTAAGGTACTGACTATTGAATTTGAAAGTGTTCTTTGCAGTAATGACACCACACAAGCAGTAGTGAAAATTAAGGCCTGAAAAAAATAAATTCAGGCCTGTACGGGGTTTGAACCCATGACCTCTGCTATACCGGTGCAGCACTCTACCAACTGAGCTAACAAGCCAACTGGGAGCTGGTCATTATGTTGGTTATCACTTAGCTTAAGTAGTGTTCATTACTGCCAAGATCGCTTTCAAATTCATTTCTTAAACCGCAGCTCACATATATGATTTTCATATAATTAAAGTCATATACTGACTAATATTCTATACAGATTAGTCATACCTTTAAGACTCTTCATGGCTTACAGTTAACTGCGTCGTACATTTGTGTGAGTTAAAGTTTAGTGAGTTAAAGTTTAGATATCAATGTAACTGCCACAGCACTCACGATAGGCGTTATCATATCATTCAATGTATTTATTGTCAATTTGATGAAACCTTTCAAATTCTCCTGACATCTTTCACTAAAAATACCTCCCCAAAGCAGGTGGTGGTAACCTTTTATCGCATTTAAATTGTTGAGGTTGTTGTATCTACTGCTGATCTCTCGACCGTAAATTGTTCTTTGGTCTTCAAGATACCTTTGAAAAACTCACATTTGGTCGTTTCTTTCTCAAAGCATTCGATTCAATTTAGGCTAATTGTTTACCTTCTCTGTGCATCTGTTTCGGACAGGAACTATTGGAGCACGGTGAATACAAAGTGGCCTCTGATTTGTGGACAGAAGAGGTATACGACTGTTGTATGAATTCTCGTTTAAATTGTCCTCGTACTCGAATGTATCTCTCTAAATCATTTATTATGTTTGTATGCATGAGATAACACACCCACCGGCTGTTGCGCTGCTACACGATGGCACTCCCCTGAAAAAAAGAGCGCCTGATACAAGTTAGGCATACAGTACTCCCGATCAGTTTATGCTTTAGATAACGGGGTGAAGTAGGTATAGCGGTGACTCTGTTTTTCTAGATAAGGTTCCACAAAACTATGGTTAAACAAAAATATCTTCTCTTTATTCATGGAAGAAATAGCTTCTGTGTTTTCAATCTTTAGTTAATGCTCCAATTACGATGGCGTCGCCTTTTTTCCGATGAACGCATTCTTTCGACAAATCCATTTCTGTAGCAAGTTGTGAAGGATGCTAAATTCGTTTTTTCTTACAAATTAAGTTTTCAAGGAAACTGTGGGGCTACGTCGGTGGGAAAGTATAACAAGACAATCTGGTATTATCAACTGAGTTAATGACGATAATTGGCCACTGTTAAGGGTTTTCTTTCCAAGCTAATTTTTTAAATTTTCTTACAGGCAGAAAAAGCTTTCAAGAAAGCAGTACATAGTATTGAAAAGATTCGCAAAAAGGTACCTAATTGCTTTTTTGACTCAGTATTTTGTTTTGCTTTGCTTTGTTTCGATTTTCTAGTTTTGTTAGAAGGCGTCCATTAGGAACGACATAGTACACATAGATACGTTTTTATGTTGTCTCGCGCAGAGAAGGAAAAGTGGAGAGCCTCGACATGAGGATGAGGTTTTTGAACTGCTGTTTACGCACATGGCTTTGAATTTATTTACTGAACCAGAACAAGCCATGGACATTTTAAAGGTACATTTCTGAATCTACGCTAAACCACCCATGCATCTAAAGGAATTCTGTTTATACATTAGCAGTAATTTAATAACGGTGTATCTTTTTGATGGTTTTGAAACTCACATATTTCTTATAGTTACCGGACACTTTTAGGAAGGTTAAATGTCTCAGATTTTTTGGTGTTATTATAGGAGCTAAAAGCTTGCTACGAAAGACAGAAGACCAAACACGAGGAGAAGAGTGATGGTGAATATTTTGTTTGTTTTGTGACTGCTATTGCATGTTAAATACTTTGTGGACTGTGCCAGCCTTATAGATGTTTTGGCGAGAATAGTTTTGACTTCTTTTGAACTTCGCTAACTCAACAACTGTATGAAAGCCCAACGATCTTACTGTATGCGTTAAAATAGAGAGACTTTCTTTAGTGGTTATTCATAGAGGGGTTTTCCCTTCACATATACCTGAACAAACATCATGTTGAACAATAGTCTACGACTGGATTTAGCAATATTTGATTTGACATTTGGTAATGCTCGATGCTGGAAGAAAGTTGAGTATACACCCTGCAAATGAAGATACAATTCACTTGCATGAAATAATAGTTAGCACATGAAATAAACATCTCGCTATTCACTTTATAGTTGAGAAAAGAAAACTAGAATTGCCATTTCTCACAAATGTCATCCGTACTCACAATGCCACGTATACATTTCTGCTGACCTTATGTTTGTTTTTGTAGAGGAGCCACATTGGGTAGAGGTTCTGACTGAAGTGTTACTCAGTCTGTTGACCAAAACCTCAAGTCTGTTCCGCCATGTTGTTGATCAAGTCTTTGTCCTACTTGCTCCCCATTTGACTCAGAATGCTCTAAACATGATTTTAGAGGTACAGTAGGACTTTCTAAGTCTTCATTGAGTACTTCGTATTGAGGATTCGTCGTCATCATCATCTATTTGCCTCTTTTGACAATAAAAAGAAAAAACTATAAATTTGAAGCATTACAATGATAAGGCGAGGAGACCTCAAGAAACCACCAGGCTTCCGGGAGAAAACAATATATCTATCGTGATTCATCGTGAGGCGAATTACCTCTCTCTTTGTTTGATAGCCCAGCTCAAAATTTACCATCTTTCTTGATCAGTTCGTAGGACACGTGTCACGTATGAATCTAGTTATGACCTAGCTCCTCATGGAGTTCTCTGTAGCTCAGGGGTAAAGCTTCGGAGCGCGGAATCCGACGGTTTGGGTTCCGATTTCTCCTGGGAAGGACTCAGAATATTTCTTTGTCTCACGCTCTTGTTAGGACGATAAACATCTTTAGTTGTTTCAGTATTTATTTTGCTTGAGGAGACCTTATGAAAATAATCCCCTTGTATCACAAGCGTGAAACGTTGAACTGATCTCAATATGATCGTTGCTTTAATGTAACTATTTTGTTACTGTTGTTGCTTTAGAGCCTGGATACTAGAAAAGGAATTAATGGTGAAAGTTTAGAGATTGTCGATGAATCAGGTGAGTACATATTAAATTATGAAACTTATTATTTCATAATTTTATTCTTGCGTTGTATTTTCTTCCCCTTTTCGGCCTCTCCTTTAAGGTAAACGCGTGGCAATGCTGACAACTGAAATAATTTTGGCGTGCTGATCCAACTTAATTATTTATCTGTATGGCAAAAGTTCCAAAAGTAACTAACGAGCAGAAGCTGTTTCAATTTTGGTCAGTGTAGTAAATTATTTATTTTAGAACTACTATATATACTTGTATTTTATTTTCCAGATAACGAAGAGGATGATGAAGAAATGGAGGACGATGAAGAAAAAGAAAAGGTGACATGACCAAATATGAAATTACTTAATTTTCACACTTTATAAGAATTTGATGGCGGCTTAAAGATATATCAAGAAAGACAATACTCAAGCAAAAGAAAAAAGTACGGCAATTATAAAGCACTTTTCCATTTAGTGTCGTAAAGCTAACACCAAGGTAACCACGTCAGCCAATCAGAAGAAACGAAAATACCTTTAAGAGCCAATGAGAACTCAAAGTAAAAACAAACAATTCGCCTAAAGCGCGGGAAAACGCGGGCGACCAAGTCGTGATTGGTTTTAAATTATCATTCGATTGGTTGAGAAAGTGGCGCGAGTTTCCTGGACCAATCACAGAGCGAAGTAAAGGAAAACCAATGCAACCTCAGATTACTTCGACTTTCAATTGAAAATTGCTTTAAAAGCAAATACGACGATGATAACATGAACGACGAGAAAGTGTGGTGTTTTATCTTGTGTTGAAATTCACTGGGCTGTTTTAGGAAGAGTCAAATGGCGTAAACGGTAAAGGTGAAAGTGGCGATGACGATGATGACGAGGGTGTTAGCAGCTCAGATGAGGAAGAGGAAAATGTTGGTGCAGTGGACGAAGCTTTTAGAGCTGAGGTACAAGCTGCCCTCGGCCCAGCCATGGTGGACGTGGACAAGGAGGTTTGTTATGACAGAATCGCGAGAAAGAATGCTGTATTGATAGTGTGTAAACAGTTCTTGTTTATGTAACATTTTCTCGCCAACTGGCTCCCAATACTCGCATAGGGTGAACTCGTGCTTTAGTCACCAGCTCAGAAGTTGGCGGATTGAATTTCGACACTCAGATCCTTTGGATTTAATCGCGAGAAGGAGTAAAAGAAATTAGGTACTTTTTCACCTTTAACTGTATTACGTGCAATAGTTTTCCCTGCAGTAGTGTTTCGCTGGAAATAGGATTCTGAGGTTTTGACTTCGAGGCTACTATTGATACAAACTGATATTTTCGGAATGTTGTCGCTTAAAATTTAGAGACTTTTCCCTTATAGCTTCAAAATCTTATCAGGTTACTGATGAATCAGCTATAACTGTTAAACATTTCCCAAAAAAGTTATCAGCGAGTATTAGATTACTATAAAACCATGTTTTTATATCAATGAACAAGTTCGAACGACAGATTATCCAGTAATGGGAGGAAAACAAAAACAAAAACAAAAAACATAAGGAAGAAAAGATGGAAAGCATTGAGCGGATATTCATTTACTGACTTCGTTTTTTAGCTAAATTTCGGTCAAGATCTACAGTATTTCGACCCCAGGCATGCATGTATATCTCCGTGATAAAAAGGGACCTAAAGAAAGTTCCGATGTGATCCACACGGAGAGTATCCCTGTATACACGTAGTTGCCTAAGATGGAAATGGTAATTTTTCTTTTGTAGGGAAGTAGCAGTGATGAAGACTTAGACGATGAAGCGATGATGAGACTCGATGGCGCCCTCGCCGCTGTTTTCAAATCTCAGTTGCAGGCCAAAAGGGACATAAACAAAAAGAAAGGTGACGTTTTGTGTCCAAGTCGCTTACTGTTTAGTGGGCCATGCCATTTAAAATGTTTTAATAGCTCGCGCGTTTATCCCTTAACCCATTGTTTGATTAAAGAGTCTTCTTAATGTCTATAAAATCATTATGAGAAGTTGCCTATTCTTTTTAAGGGCCGTACCTTTTTTAATTTTGGTAAATACCACTAGCTTTTGCCATACATAGGTCACTTACCTCCTCATCTTAATACTTAACCGGCCTTAATGAGAGACGGGGAAAGAAAGAATTAGTCCGGTTAGGTCACAAGACTAAGTCACTTCTGTCGATTGAACTAATCATTTTGCGGAGAACAAGATTCTAGCGGAGTCGAAAGCTCAGAGTTTTGTTCCTTTAGAGTGTTACAGGAACAAATTAAGTTAACCCTTAATTTACACAAAATATTTTAGCGTGGAAGAGGTGAGTTTCGTGGCTTACTCCTCTCTTATAGTTATTGGGCACCTAATCTCGCTTCTATTTTTATTTTTGGATTTTGAGCAGATGCCAGAAAGATCATTCTCCATTTTAAACTGAGGTAAAGTTCGGTCTTTAGAGATCCGTTTTCTTTTACATTGTACTTAATCTTTCTTTAGGTTTATCAGGTTTGGATAAACTTGTTTATTTCGTTTTATACTCTTTTCAAGGGTGCTAGATATTATAGAGATACTCATCAAGAAACAAGCCTCCAATCCACTGATACTCGTAAGTTGAACTTAAAACTTTCCCTCTACTGGAATGCCATTTTTTCCCCGAATAAGTGTACTATATTAAGAAAATTTTAAAGTGACATTACGAGTATTTTTCAAGCAGTTTTAAGAGTTTGAAAAAATTCCGAACTTCTTATGTGTTACGTACACCCCAAACATCTTGTCAATTTGAAGCTCTTTGTGTAATACTGAACGTGAAGGTTCTTGAAGGTTTCCTTATTGCACGGACAGCTGTCGTGGTGCTCATCCATAATATGAAGGAAGCGAGTGGCCTCAATTTCCGCAGATTTTGTAACTAGATCTCTTGAGTGTATTTTTCTGTGGCTAAACATTCAGGAAAATTCATCAACTATTCACATCCCTCTTTTTCTATTTAATTCACGATTAATTCTTGTAACGTGTGCATGGTGGTTTTCTTAGGATGTTTTAGCTCATAATCTTCCTTTCGGAGACGGGACGTTTTACTGAGTTATCTGTGTGGAACGCATGAAATCACGTTGATGTTTTACGATGTATTTCCTTGCAGGAGTTGATTATTCCTCTGTTGAATGTGACTTGGTCTGCACTGAACTCTAAGGATTTCCATACATTGGGCGAAAAGGCTCAAGCACTCTTTCAAAACAAGTTATGCACGGCAAAAGAGGTAAATATTTAGGTGATAGCAGAAACTCACAGAAGGTTAAAATCATTACAGGTACATTTTTCAAACATGTAGGATCTTAATGTAACATGTTTGTAAGTTTGTAAAGAATGAATTTTTTACCCATTTAATAAATATAATTCTCGGACGAGCAGGAATTTTTGATTACGACGTTCTAAACTTTTTCCTATATTCTTACGGAATAGCTATGGAAATTAAGAAAAGCTCTCCAAAACTTATGCTCTTTTTATTTGAATTGAGTTATTTTGCCAGTCGACTAAAGATGCGATCAGAGGAAGTGATGAAAAAACGAAAGAAGATTAAAAAAAAATCAGAGAAACAAGAAATTCCAGTTTGCCTGAAACTACACTGGGTCATCTTCGCAAAGTAGCGTTACTAGTTTGATATTGGAATAAGATAAATAATCATGAACGACATGGTAGTTCATTTCAGTTTTCTAATGTACTCGTGATTTTTCTGTGGTTCAAAGCTACTTCCCATATGTAACACTGCAGATGCCGAAATCATTTGATGCATTTTTATGTTATAGCTTCCACCGGTCTCGGCTATCAACGCCAAAGACGTTCACAAAAAGCTTGAAAATCTGATTCAGAAAGCAATGATGGGTGAGGCATTTACAATTTACTCGATTTATATTTAACATTTTTGCCGCTTTTCTGCTTCCTGGCATTTTTTCCAGACATTTTATTAAGAATACAGCCCTAAGTTGTTACGTTTTCTATTCTCGTCACTTGTCTAGAATGTACTGAAACCAAAATGAAATATTTAACCTAAATGGGGACTTGTATGGGCTTATTGTGTGAATTTTGATGATTTTATCTTTATAGCTCCCTCGATGGCGATTGTCTCACTGATAACGCGTGGTTGTTTATATTTGGTAAGAAGTGTCTATCGATGTTTTTTACAACTTTTATTTATCTATTTATGAATTGAAAGTTAAGAGAACAATATACGACATAAACACACATTTCGAAGTCTTGCCTTTTACGATCCTATGTTCAATTGTTTTTGTTTAGGTTCGTGTATTGAGAGGCTCGCAGACGAAGCAGTCTGTCGCAGTTGGAATGAAGAAAAAAGAGGAAAGTTGTCACGAGGAAACGGCGAAAGTAAGTAAAAGAAATGAGAAGTCATGTAGTGTTGCTGTTGTTGTTTTACTGCTCCATTCAGCCTATGCTTCTTGAAGATTAAAAAGGTATGTTTGTATGTGTTGAAGACCGTAAAATCGTTTCCTTCCATATCATTTTAAAGCCTACCATACTGTGACACAAAAGTTGTCAATAGTTTCCGAATAATTACAGGGTTGCATTGGTTTTGCTTTACTTCGTTTTATAATTGGTCCAAAACAACTTGCGCCACTCTCTCAAACGATCAAATGCAAAACTTAATCATTCACGACTTGATCACCGGCGTTTTCGCGCGCTTTTGACAGTTGGCTCTTCATTGGCTCTCAGGGGTATTTTTCTTTCTTTAAGTTGCCGTTGTGATTACCCCGATACCCAATCGGAAAGCGCTCTTAATTAAACAAGGGGTTTGTATCACGGTCGAGTAGAGCAAGTGTTGTTTTGAGGTACTCTTTACCATTTCCTCCTTACAGCTGTGCTTGTTGAACACTAAAAGGGTGACAGCGGCATTTAAGAAAGCTCTGGAAGACTTCATGTTAAAGAGGTGCGTAGTGTATGCGCATTGGTAATTTTAGGGGTCTGACTTCGTCAACGAGGACTCATAGGGGGTAACTTCTGTTTTCCAAGCTTCGCCAGTGAAGCTTCACTTTAATTTTTAAGTACTCTTTTGTCTAGATCTCTTAAGTTTTACTACGAAAACGACGATAATCTTTGTGTTTGACACTAAACGGGTCAGATTTGCTTCTGAGCTTATTTAACTATAGTTTCCAGTTTACATTCTGCGTTTTCATTCTGTAGGAGTACACACCTTCATCCAGTGCTATTCACAGAACTGATAAAGCGATTCCCGGTGAGATGCAAGAATTAGCCTAAAAACGAGGATTTATAAACTTCCTATGCTTTACGGCAGACACCAATCTAGAAAACTTGAGAAAAGGCAGACATCTTTCTCTCCAAGATTTTCTTTGCTTTTTTGCTTTTTTTCTTGACACCGGTATGTGCCGTAATGTCTGGAAAGCATAGTTTGAAGAATTGAACTAACTGGTAGCTAACTACTTTTATTGTTAAGAATGATTGAATTACTCCAAATGCAGACCTTGCGTTGTCCATAGTTGGAGAATGGGTTGGAGTATTGCATTTTGTACTATTATTTTTTGTCACAATTTAATCAGAAATACTAAGAATCTTCTGTTTCCTACTCGATTTCAGCATCTTGGATGGCATTTAGCTGCAGATTTAGTTGAATACCTTGAAACTGCAGTTAACAATTTCAGAAAGGTAGGTACTTAATAAT